GTAGCTCCTTCAGCGCGGGAAGAGAGGACGGATGGAAGGGGGATGGAGAAGGATGGAGCTCGAAAAAACATTGCAGGAGAGGGGCTAGGAGCAGAAATCATGTGGTTGAACCTGACGGGCCCATTGGGCGGGTCGACCCGAATGGGCGAGTCAGGAAGGCGGGCCCAGGTGGCCAGGTCGAGCATGCGAGTTGCTGAAGCGTGTGTCCTGCATGCATCGCGAGGAAGTCTGGAGCGAACTCGCGATTCACAAGTAAACCGTGGGAGAAGCCAACGCGAGAGCGTGATTCCTGAGTGTCGATGGCGCAGCGTTTGAATACATTGCTCGAAAATCCCACGCGAGAGCGCGATTCCTGCATACATTGTGGGGAATGTCTCGCGAAAGCGCGATTTCGGAAGACACTGTGAGGAAGTATCAGGCGGGAAGTGTTGTTGCTGTAGCCGGGGGGGGCAGAGGCCCAGTGTAACCAGGACAGTATTCTCTGATTCTTATGTGGGCGAAGGGCCCAACCATATGCAGTTGTGAGTACTGCCGTTGTGAGAATTGCCTTTGGTAGAGCCCCACATGGACACGAAGCGCGCGAAGAGTGCGCCGCAATGGGGCGGGGCCGCCATGCGGGCGCTGCCGCTGGGGCCTTCGGTGGAGCTTCCTGTGGGGCCACGAGGCGTGTGAGGGGTGTGCTAAAGAGGAAGGGGGGCGGCATCCGAACCATGCCATTGGGCTATTCGGTGTAGTTCCATGTGTGGACGCGACACGTGAGACTGGTGTGCCAAAGTGGAATGGGGGTCGGCATGCAAACCATGCCACTGGGGCCTTCGGTGGAGCTCCCTGTGGGGCCACGAAAAGTGTGAAGGATTTGCCAACGTGGAAGGGAGGTCGGCATGCGAACCATGCCACTGGGGCCTTCGGTGGAGCTCCCTATGGGGCCGCGATGTATGTGAGGGGTGTGCCAAAGTGGAGGGGGGCGCGGCATGCGAACCATACCGCTGGGGCCTTCGGTGGATCTCCCTATGGGGCCACGAAGCGTGTGGGGGATGTGCCACAGTGGAGGGGGGGGCGGCATGCGAACCATGGCACTGGGGCCTTCGGTGGAGCTCCCTATGGGGCCACGAAACGTGTGAGGGGTGTGCCAAAGTTGAGGGGGGGGCGGCATGCGAACCATGCCACTGGGGCCTTCGGTGGAGCTCCCTGTGGGGCCGCGAATCGTGTGAGGGGTGTGCCACAGTAGAAGGGGGGCGGCATGCGAATCATGCCATTGGGGCCTTCGGTGGAGCTCCCTGTGGGGCCGCGAAGCGTCTGAGGGGTGTGCCAACGTGGAGGGGGGTCGGCATGCGAACCATACCACTGGGGACTTCGGTGGGGCTCCCTGTGGGGCCACGAAGCGTGTGAGATGTGCGCCAACGTGGAGCGGCAGAGGAACCATGCCACCGGGGCCTTCGGTTGAGCTCCCTATGGGGCCACGAACTGTGCAAGGGGGGTGCCAAAGTGGAGGGGGGCGCGGCATGCGAACCATGACACTGGGGCCTTCGGTGGAGTCACGGAACCGTGCGAGGAGTGCCACAGTGAAGGGGGTGACGGGAGGAGGGAGGAGCGGGAGAAAGAGGAGAGGAGAGGAGAGGAGACGGTGGGTTTGTCTCTTCAAAATGGGTACATGACACCACAAGATGGTTGGGAACAAACAGGGTGCGAGCCCCGATGGGGGCCCTTCAATTGAACTTAGCCTGGCGAAGGACCCAACCATCTGCACTTGTGAGTACCGTCGTTGTATGCACCGCATTCGGAGGAGCTCCCTATGGAGCCACGAAGCGTGTGTGGGGCGTGCCAAAATGGGTGCGGTGGGCGAATGCGAGCGCTGGCATTTAGGTCTTCGGTGGGGCTCCCTACGGGGCCACGCAACGTGTGAGGGGTGTGCCAAAATGGGTACGGTGGGCTTCTGGCGTGACGTGCCCTGGCACGTCCCCTAGCACGCCATTCGGCGTGGCACGTTTCTTGGCCTATCCTCTGTAGCGTTTCCTGGCTCGTACCCAGGCGTTTCCCCTGCCCTTTCCGTGGCGCGCCCCTTACAACGTCCCTTGGCATGACGTCCTTAGGCCGCCCCATGGCACGCGCCTTGGCACGTCCCGTGGAAGGTCCCTGACACGTCCAGGGCACTTCCCCTGATACGTCTCCTGATACGTCCCCTTGCGCATCCCCGATTGCGCCCTTGGTACATCCCGTGGCGCACTTGTGAGCATGTGCCCCGTCGTGTGCCGTTCCTTTTTGGAGCTTGGTCTGATTTTGAGATCGAGTTGATTGAACGTCTTCCAGGTAGCTCTGGGCCAGTTACTTTGTGCTCAGGCAGTTCGAGCTTCAGCTCCAGATCAGTTCGGTTAGGACTCGGTTGCTCAGGAGAACTCGATCCACAACGCTATAAAGCACAATCGTGGCATGGCACATCGCAACTCAGCACGGCACAACACAGCACAGCGCAGCTCTTGGCACGATACATCAAGATCGATACATTCAGCATTGCAATTGCCCGTCGCCCAATCAGGTGTTTTGAAAACGTTGCCATGCCTCACAGTTCTACAGTCCTTTCCGGGTTCGTGGGTCGATCATGCTCGCTACCGTGCCTAATTCGCTTCTGGTGCATCCCACCGCTTGCTGACAGGCGTCTGACTTGGCGCCCGCGGGCTGAGAAACTTGTATTCGCGGGATCGCGCTCCAGAGTCCAGACGCGATGGCGCGCATACGTATAGGTTCGCCGCTCTTGGTCTCTGCCTCGCAGACCGCACCTCGGGGCACGGGGGCGCCCTCCCTGGCCTCGAGGCGGGAGCCTGGCCAGGCAGCGGCAGCTGCAGCCGCAGTAGCAGTCCGGGGCAACGATAGGGGGGGACAGGCATACACGCCAGTCATTGAGTGTGGAATGCCAGATCCCAATCTACTTCAAGTGCCTTCTGATTTCAAGCATTTATATGCTTTTGCTGTGTTCTGTTATTTTCTGGGAGGGCCTGAACCCAATCTAATGTATCCGCCTTTCTACTTCATGCTTTCACCCGCTTCTTCCGACCGACGTGTAGGGGGGAACGCATCGACCGCCAGTTGATCGCCGATAAGGGCCCGATAGCCCCAAGTCGCCAAGGGCCAAGGGAGGTGCGGCTTCGCTATCGGGGGTCTGTCGCCGATCTGTCGACGATGTATCGACGATGCCTCGCCCTCCTGCGCCAGTTTCCTTCCATCGTTGTCCCTCAAGGAGCAGGCCATCACCTTCCCTTTAAGTGGTTTGCAGTCAGGACGCCGAGATAAGGACCACTTTTGCTCAGGAGGGGTAGAGGAGGAGGAGGAGGAGGAGGAGGAGGAGGAGGAGGAGGAGGAGGAGGAGGAGGAGGAGGAGGAGGAGAGGAGGAGGCGGAGGAGGCGGATGAGGAGGAGGAGGCGGAAGAGGAGGAGGAGGCTCTGGTTTCCGTACCGTTCCCGAAGGCTGGGCGGGGGGACCTGCTCGTGGCAGAGGTTCGCAGTGGCCAGAAAGAGACCCTGCGTGTATTGCTCGCTATTTGTGTGTTGCGCAGATTCATAATTGTTTGTATGACACTCGTTCGACACGTTTTCGATACTTTCCTGGGTGTTCGAAATTATTTCTGGGATGTGGTTCTCAAGTACGATGGGAGCAACAGAAGTCTCGCAATTTCCATTCATGTCTGCATGTCTACAAGAGACCATGGTCTCACCCACTTGGTAGCAGGCGCGGGCAGCTGTTCGATGTGGAGGCTCGTTCGTTCTGGTAGTGCGATGACCGTACCCCCGAGAACCCCCCGCTCGTCTCAATGCAGGAGGCGGGGCGCGAGCTACCGGGTGTTTCTCAGCTTGTTTTTCGCCTCGAAACTGTTGGTTTTGCAGCAAGGGCGGAGCGTTGACGGAGCGAGGGCAAACGAAATCGGAGCGAAACCAGGAAGCACTGCTGACCTCGCGCCCTGGCAAGAGGAGAGGAGATGTCTGGTGGAGGCGGCGGGCAGGCCTCCCCCCCCGGCAGCGGCTTGGCTCGCCGCCGAGGCAGAAGCCCCTCTACAGGCAGACAATTCAAAACATAGCCAGAAATAATCAGGGGACGATTTTTTCGAGTATTGTTGATTATGTCGGGGCACTCTGTTGAATTTGTTTTATTGCTAAGGCCTTACGGCCGGTGCCGCCGACCCTGGAGGCCTCGGCCCTCGACGGAAATGGGAAGGAGAGGACGGGCCATGGGCCCCAGGAGGGTGGTATTCTGTCCAGGTATCCTCCCTGGGACCCCCTTCCGGGACCGCCCCCCTTCGAGTAAACACCGACGTTGCTCAGATTGGCTTCCCCTCCGCGTCGCGGCCGCTCCCCTCTCCCGAAGGGGAGCCGCCCGGGTGCTCTCCCCCCCCCGGGTATCCAGGTGTGACCTCCCCCACGGGGGGAAGGGATAAAAGGGAAGGGGCTTCCCTTGGACTAAGCTACGACGTTGCTCAGATTGGCTTCCCCCCCGTGTCGCGGCCGCTCCCCTCCGCGTCGCGGCCGCTCCCCTCCCCCGAGGGGAGCCGCCCGGGTGCCCCGCCCCGGGTATCCAGGTGTGAACCCCCCCCCACCCCACTCCCCCCTCGGGGGGAAGGGATAAAAGGGAAGGGGCTTACTTCGAGTACGACGTTGCTCAGATTGGCTCGCGGCCGCTCCCCACGCCCGGGGAGAGTCGACCACTCCCCCTCTTGGGCCTTGGGCCGACGTGGCGGTGTCGTGGGGAGCTCCCGTTCCCCGAGGGGAGCCGGCCACCCCTCTTGGAGCCGACGTGACGATCTCGTGGGCGACGACGACCCACGCAAGATGACGAGACCAGGATACGTCTTCCACACGCCGACAGGGTCACTTTTTTCGTTCGCTATTTCTTATTTTCCTTCCACGATCCGACTGTACGAGGACACGCCCGACCTAAAGCTAGGAGTTCTGACCAGCGAGGCGCGGGGGCGGTGGCCGCGCCCTCGCGCGCGAGGGCCCTCGTCCGCCTGCAGGCGGCCAGCGAGAGCAAGAACGAGTACTACGGGCTTGCCATTGGCTTCGTGGTGGTCGCAGGCCTTGTCTGCCCCTCCTCCTCGTCCTCTCTCCTCCTCCTCCGCCTCCTCCTCCTCCTCCTCCTCCGCTTCCTCCTCTTCCTCCGCCCTCCTACGCCCTCCTCCCCATCCTCCTCTGCCTCCTCCTCCTCCTCCGCCGCCTCCTCCTCCTCCTCCTCCTCCGCCTGTCGCCGCCCGTGCCCGCGCGCGCGAGAGGCCTCTCGGCGTCGCGCGCGGGGGGGCCAGAGGACGGAGGGCCGAGGGGGGCGGGGACGGCAGGGGCCCACCGCCAGGGTGCTGCAGCAGCCGCACTCCTCGTGCCCGGGGGGCGCTCGCGGGCCGGGCAGACATCGACGATGCCGTATTGGGGCGGGTGTGGGCACGTAAGTGGGGCCGTAAGATCTTACGACTCTTCGTGCCCGGAGGAGCGGTGGGTGTGGGCATCTGCGGGCCCGCGCGGGCGGGCAGACATTCGAAGAACAGAAATCGGCATGAACGTAGAATTTGGCGCTCCGCGCGGATTTCTTGGATTGCGCTGGGGCCCCCCGGGGCGCCTCCGGCGCCGCTCTCGAGGGGGGGGGTCGCGCGCAGATATAGGAAATCCGCGGGGACCGTCGAAAGTTTATGTTTGTGCCGTTTTTCTTTCTCTATCCACCGCGAACCTAGGGCCTGGGGCAGGGCGCTTCTCTGACGTGGATGTCGGTAATCATGGATGTCTCTTGGCGGTGCACGGGCGGGTAACAGCCCCCGAAGGGGCAGGCGCACAGCGCGCCAGGGCTTTGCAGACCTACGAAGCGCATCGGCATGTCCTCGTGGTGGTCAGAGTGAGGCGGGTCAGGCGGCGTGGCGGGTCAGGCGGCGTGACTTTACCCCTGGGTGTGCATGGCCTCTGTGGTTCTCAGTGGAGCTGTCGTCGTTGGGGTCCTGAGCGGGGAGCGCACGGGAGGGCCACAAGGGGTAGTCGACCGGGTTGGCACACGAAGGCCAGGAGTCCACGTCTGGGGCCGTGCGAGACGCTTCCCCAGTGCGCCGAGCGAATACCAATGGGGTCTTCGGATGGGCGTGTCACGTTTTGCCACAGAGAGTGGTTCGCAGAAGTCAGTACAGACCAGAAGTGTCGTTGCAGTGGCGCCCGTGTGACGTTCTCTGGTACGGGCGCAATGCCTCGCGCCTTTTCGGATCTGATCTGGGCGTGCTGTAAAATCCCATCCGGCGAAGTGGTCATGTCTGTGCGGTCATCACATCACTTTGTGTGTACTAGTTGTTGGCACTCAATGTTGGCCTTGGTTTGTAATTACTGAAGTTCGTCTTATGTTTCGATTGTTCCTGCCTTTCATATGTTGTGACTCGGTTTGCGGCAGACGACCTCGTGGCGACCAAATCGGGCGACCCAATCGGCGATTTCCCTGGTCTGTGTTTTAACGAGCCCTTCGCAGCATTTGGTGTCCAGGGAATTCTGTGGGGTGCGACAGACACCAAGTCGCACAACTAAATCACAGTTTCCGAAGGGAGTTTCTCGTCCATAGTTGAGTCATTGGTTGCGGCAGACACCCGTCCATTTAAGAGAGTATTGACTTCCACAATGCGTCTACCTTCCAGTGGGTTGCGCCAGACGCACCGCCACACAATGACATCGGGATTTCTTCTGTGCGGCTACCCTCCGTAGGCCGTCTTGAAGACATCTGTGGACATCATGCGGGGACGGATCGGAATCAGCAAAACACACTGAGATGCTGGGACTATTATTTGGACACCGTATTTCAATTTTGAACCATTCCCCGCGCAATCTGGCGCAACTTACAAACCAACTGTCTTCGGGAACGCGAATCTGGTGTAATTCGCAAATGATTCTGGCCTCGGGCGCGCGAACCCGGTGTGCTTTACGAAGGATTGTCGACTAGAAAGCACGAATCTGGCCCAGTGTGTGAGGGATTCTGGTCTCGGGATCGCGAACCTGGCGTAACTTTCGAGGGACCTCGGGAACGTGAGTCTGGCGTAACCTATGAGGGAATCTTGCCTCAGGGGGATGATGTCCCAGTCCCACCAACAATGTAGCTTCAGGGACGGTGGCCAGTGTGGCTGTGAGCTCCCCCTCAGGCGGACAGCAACCATGTACAGTAGGAAGCAGACAGTCGTATTATAACATTTAGAAACTGGGAACTAGTATTGGCGCAGGAAGCAGCCACGCAGTCCCATGGCCCCACAAGGGGGCCGTCGGATTATGGAAACTGTTCTGGCCCTGGCCCCTAGGGTGTAGTGCTGGTGCCAAGCGTCGCTGGAGTGAATGTACGCGTTGGTAGTTGCAATCGCTTCTGGGAGGGTCCTGCTGTGCCTTCCTGGGGGCTCTCGAAGTCGTCTCAGGATCTTCTCGGGAACGCCTCGATTTCGCTTGGCGGGACGATGGTTTCTGCCAGGCGTCGAGGCCAGGGAGTCTGGGGGATGCCCTTCACCCTGGTCGCACGGGTAAACACAGATGATGGACCAGGAAGCCGGCTACGGTAGCTTCATGTGGCGTTGGCGCGCCAGCGACGCCAGCGAAGGCGTTCAAGGTTGATTTCTGAGACGGGGACACCGAGGGACTCGGTGACGCAACTGGACCCGACTGAATTCAACCTTGAACGAGCGGGGCCGCGATCGATTCAAGGTTGAACGATCGACGCGGTGTCGAATCCTTTGCGCGCGCCGAAAGCCGCGCGAACCTGCCGGAAACACAGACGATGGAGCAGGCAGGCGGCTACCTCAGGGTGGCGGCTTCAGTCCGATCAGCACATGTGCAGAGCCAGCAGGCATAGGCCGAGCGGAATGGGCTTGGAGGCCCCCGAGAGTGCTAGGCGCCTACGGCGCTGGCGCGGTCTCCGGCGGCTGCTTCAACCCCGCGGTCGCCATCGGGATCGATCTGGCCAGCTGGAACCTCGGCTTCTTTTGGTGCCCCCACGCTGCCTGCCGCTGCTGAGCACCAGGAAGCAGGAAGCGGGGAGCAAGCATAGAACCACGCGGAATGTGGGAGTTTTGGGGCGTGACCTTGTTCACCAGGCGAGCCCCACTGAGAGACCCATTTGTCGCGGTTCGAGTCGTTCGTGCGAATCTGTGCGCGAGTTGCCAGGATGCAAGGCCTCGTGGCCCAGCCTGGTGTTCATAGGGCCGGCTGTGGGGAGTGTGATGCCGGGTGTTGTAGTTTCATAGTTCGGTGGATGATTCAGATGGGTATGAGGATCACGATGAGGATGACAGTAGCAATGGTAATGACAGTAATGGCAATGGTGATGGGCAGCACCAGTAACAGCAGCAGCAGCAGCAGCAGCAGCAGCAGCAGCAGTAATTCTGGTAGCAGTCATACTTGCAGGGAGGCCCGCAGGCTGTTTTTCCGGGGGGGGGAGGGGGGCAGGGGGGGCGTTCGTTTAACTCTGAGGTGGGCGTACCTTGAGTACAGACTGCCCTTGGACATCATGCTGTGTTTCGTCCGCCTCATCTCGCTGCCCTCCTCCCTCTCTGCCCTCTTCCTCTTTCTTCTGCCTCTTCTCTTCCTCCAACTCACTCACCCCCGTCTCTCTCCTCCCTCTCCTCCCTCTCCTCCTCCTCCTCCTGCTCCTCCTCTTCCTCCTTTTTCTCTTCCTCCTCATCCTCCTCCCCATCCTCTCACTCTTCCTCGTCCCGCATTCCTTCGTCTGCTCCCTTCTTCCCTCTCCCCCACAGTGCACAAGCGCGGGGACACCAGGTCCATGATATACGTCCTTTTCGAGATCGCCGGCGCAGCCCTGGCTTGTGGCCTCTTCATGGCCGCCGCGGGGGAAGGGGGCATGACATAGGAGAGATTTGCGGGATGGGGGGAGGCAAGACTATGACGAGGAGGAATCAGAAGTATTACGAGGGCGGATGGGGGCGGGGGCGGGAGGAGGAGTAGGGTGAGGATGACGGGTAGGATGGATGGGTGGACGGATGGATGGTGATATGACGACGGTGATGATGGTGGTGATGAGGGAGGAGTTCGAGCAGGAAACGAGGATCTTTGGGCGGCGGTTGCGTTGTAGAGGCGGTTCTGCGGGCCCAGCGAGGGGGCAACCACCAAAGAAGTGGGAAGAGCAAGGAGGAGGCGAAGGAGGAGGACGAGGACGAGGAGGATGATGAGGAGGATGATGAGGATGAGGATGAGGAGGCGGATGACGGGGAGGAGGGCGGAGGAGGAGGAGGCGGAGGAGGAGGAGGAGGAAGAGGGTGGAGGGCGGAGGATGGCGGAGGAGGAGGATGTTGAGGAGGAGGAGGAGGAGGAGGAGGAGGATAATGATCATGAACAAATGGAGGACGTGATGAGGTTGATGTTGACGATGATGATGACGATGCTGATGAGGATGATGATGATTAGGATGATTGATGATGATGCTGATGGTGATGATGGTCATGATGACGATGCTGATGCTGATGATGATGCTGATGCTGATGTTGATGCTGATCCTGCTGTTGATGCTGACACCAATGATGAAGCTGATGACGATGGCGATGACGATGATGATTATATTGGTGATAATGATGCTGATGATTATGATGACCATTGCGACGATGATGATGCTGATGCTGATGATGATGCTGTTCATGACGATGGTGATGCCGTTGCTGATGGTGTTGATGATGTTGTTGTCTTTGGCGGTGACGATGCTGATGCTGATGATGTTGATCATGATGCTGATGCCGCTGAGGATGATGATGCTGATGCCGATAACGATGCTGGTGATGATGCTGATGATGCTGCTGATGATGATGGTGGTGCTGATGCTGGCAATGATGATGCTGATGATGATGATGCAGATGACGCTGATGAAGATGATGATGACGATGCTGATGAGGATGTCGACGGTGATGCCGATGATGCTGATGCGGATGATGATGATGCTGTAGATGATGATGCGGATGATGATGCGGTTGCTGATGCTGATGACGATGATGATGGTGCTGATGATGATGATGCTGCTGATGCTGATGATGATGATGATGATGATGATGACGATGATGATGATGATGATGTTGCCGATGATGAGTATGATGCTGCTGATGCTGATGATGCTGATGATGTTGATGTTGCTGCTGATGATGATGATACTGATGATGATGGTGATGATGATGATGATGATGATGCTGCTGCTGCTGATGATGATGATGATGACGCTGATGATTTTCCTCCCATCTGGCTCCTATCTATATATGCCGTATCCGTCTGGTGGCCGATGGGAGTTTCTGCGAACCTTGCCGGTGAATCGGGATTCAGCACTCTGGTGTACACGACTACGAAACGAGAGGCGGCGTGCGGTGACTTGTACCGAGACGACCAGCAAACTGCAGGGCGAGGCGGCCGAACCTGAGGCCGACAGTGGTCCGACGGCTGGCCCCGCCGACCGACTCGAGAGTTACGGCCGACTGGAGAAACGAAACTACTGCCTCTCAGTGTCGTGTAACCGATCCCCATGCCCATCCCCATCCCCATCCCCTTCGAGACCCCCACCTAATTACCACCCCAGTTGGGGATATACCCCTCGAAACCCGAAGGGAACGACCTATATCCCCATCCAGGGGGTGAATCGGCCAGTGGGGCCCAGGCCACGCCGCTGGGGATGGGGATCGGTTAAACGATACCCAGCCTCGTGCGTTTCAACATCGACCGCAACCTATCATTTTTCATAAGAGTGTTCCGCGGTTGCGCCGAAGTGCCCTGGGCCCCCATCGCATCCGAAGAGGAGGAGGAGGGATCCACGGCGCCACGTCGAGACACGTCCCGAAACAGGTCAGGATGAGTCCCACGGGCCCCCGAGGTCCGAGCGGAGGAAGAGGAAAGGCAACCATTATCAGGCGAAGCACTCGGCTTCACGGCGGGGTTGCCGTCAGGCAGAGCAGCCACAGGAGCGCCCGCGGCGGCGGGCTCACGTCCCCGCTCCAGTACAGCTGCAGCGGGTGCACGACTCCGCAGGTGCCCAGCCGCAGGCTCACGTACGTGCACTGTCACTGCAGACGCTGGCCCACGTACTCCTGCAGCTCTCTCTCTCTCTCTCTCTCTATCTTTCTCTCCATGAACGAAGCAGGCGCCTTGCCCTGCTTGCGGCTCATCCCCACCTGGATGCAGCTTTGGATCACCACCTGGCGCCACCGCTCCTCGCGCAGCACGACGGTGATCCTCTTCTTGTCCTTGTCGTACGTCTTGTCCAGACGGCACATTCTGATCATCTCCATCTTCTCTTCCACGTCGTGTGAGTCGAGCCATTCCCATATATCCAGGATGCTCTTGGCGTTCGTGCCTCCCACCTCGCTGCCCCTGCCCTTCAACGCCTCGACCAGCCCCGCGAATGCCCAGATGTATGGCGCTCCGTGAAGCCGTCCTTCCCCATCCTTCTTCACCGCCGTCGAGTAGTTGTGCGTCTGCTCTGAGACCTTCGTCGCTTCGGGTCCGTCGGCAGGGCAGAGAAAGGTGTCGAATAGGCACCCGCCGAGCTCGCGCATCCCCTGTGAGCACCTCATCAGCTGCTTGACCATCACGAGCAAGAACCGACGAAGTCGCCGACGCCCTTGAGTCGCTTGTCATCGCTGCCTCCCTCGTGGTGCGGGGCTTGACGCGGCGGCCTGCGCCCTCCTCTCCAGCAGCTCCTTCTGTTGCCGTGAGGGTGACGGGCATGGCGCTCCACAAGCCTCGGAGAAGGGCGAGGCACATGTTGTTCACGAGCGTGTGTGTAGTATTCCGTAAGGTTAGCAAACTCGAGCCCACACATTTTACAGATAATATCCGACGGTGCGTGCAACTTCCATGCTTGGTGGCCCCCCTGCGGCCGGCGGCGCCCGAGTTTCCACGAAGCTTGAACATGTTGCTTCGCGCTGTCTTTTGAGGCAAACACGCTCCCACAGTTCGCACACTGTTTCGTGAGCACAGCACCTAAGCGGGCACAGAACGCCATGACCCCCACCACGAGCCTTCGTCATGTGCGTCACTAGCTTCTTCAACGAGTCGAAGCGCAGGCCGCCAACGACGCCTTGCACGTCCAGCAAATCGCATACGTACTCGCCCTGGGCCTCCTCCGTTACTCGAGCCTTGGGCGCCAGCTTCTCCCACAGCCGATCCTCCCTAATCAGCGATACCTCGATTAGCTTCGCAACCACCTTCAAAGAAGCCTTGGACATTTCCTCGCTGATGATGATGATGATAATGATGATGATGATGCCGATGACGATGACGATGACGATGACGATGCTGATGACGATGATGATTATGCGAATGATGATTCTGATGAGGGTGACGCTGCTGCTGATGATGCTGATGACGCTGATGATGCTGATGGTGATGCTGCTGATGATGCTGCTGATGATGCTGCTGATGCTTAAGACGATGCTGCTGCTGATGATGATGATACCGGTGCTGATTTTTGACGCAATTGATGATGCTGATGATCGATGAGGATGACGATGACGATGATGTTGATGATGATGATGTTGATGATGATGGTGATGATGATGATGCTGATGATGCTGCTGCTAATGATGATGCGGTGTCGCTGCTGCTCCTGCTGATGCTGATGACGACGCTGATGCTGATGGCAATCATGATTCTGATGCTTCTCATGATGATGCTGCTGATACTGATGATGACGGTGGTGGTGATGCCGATGCTGACGATGATGTGATGCTGCTGATGAAGATGATGACGATGATGATGAGGCTGGCGACGATGATGTTGCTGCTGATGATGATGCTGATGATGACGGTGGTGGTGGTGATGGTGTTGGTGTTTGTGATGCTTACGGTGCTGCTGCTGATGCTGATGATGATGAGGATCATGCATATGAAGATGAGGATGCAGCTGCCGCTGATGATGATGAAGCTGGTTCTGATAAGTTTGATGCCGATGATGATGATGCTGATGCTGATGAGGCTGCTGACGATGATGATTATGCTGATGATGCTGATGATGATCATGATGCTGCTGATGATGATGCCGATGCTGATGATGATGAGGATGAGGATGATGATGATGAGGCTTCTGATGATGATGCTGCTGATGATGATGATGTTGATGCTGACGACGATGATGATGAGGATTATGATGGTGATGATGCTGCTGCTGATGATGCTGCTGCTGCTGCTGATGAGGATGAGGATGAGGATGAGGATGATGATGATGATGATGATGATGATGATGATGATGATGATGATGATGATGATGATGATGATGATGATGATGATGATGATGGTGAGGGTGATGATGCTGATGGTGATGATGATTATGCTGCTGCTGATGATGATCATGATGATGCTGCTGCTGATGCCGATGCTGCTGCTGATGCTGTTGCTGCTGCCGACGATGCTGTTGATGGTTCAGCAGGAGGAGGAACAGGAGGAGGATCGGATTCAAGACAATTCGTTCGAAGCTCGAAGTAGTAGTAGGAGGAGGAGGAGGAGGAGGAGGAGAGGAAAGGGTGAGGAGGAAGAGGGAAGAAGAGGGGAGGAGGAGGAGGAGGAGGAGGAGGAGGAGGAGGAGGAGGAGGAGGAGGAGGAGGAAGAAGAGGAGTGCAGAACTCGTCAACGGTCAGAGACCATCTCCGCCCCGCCCCCCTCTCTCACTCCTGTCCCCTCCCTGCTCTCCCCCCCCTTCCAGTCCCGTTCATCTTCATACCCCTCCCCCGATTCTCCCCGTGTCCCTCCCCCCTCCCGCTCCCTCTCTCCTTCCTTCCTCATTTTGACTTCATGTGCTTGGCGCGGCCAGCGACACTTGCGAGAGCACTCGATGCCCCAAAGTGTGAGAAAGGCCTGAATGCAGACTATGATAAAGTTGATGATGGCGCTGGTTGTGGCCATGATGATGACGACCCTGATCAGGATGGTGATGATGAGGATGATGATGATGATTATGAGGATTACGATGATGCTGATGATTGTGATGATCACGATGATGTTGCTGCTGCTGATTATGATGATGCTGCTGCCGACGATGATGATGCTGATGAGGTTGACGATGCTGATCCTGCTGATGATGACTATGCTGATTCTGATGATGCTGCTGCTGATGATGCTACTGCTGCTGATGATGATGCTGACTATGATGATGGTGATGCTGCTGATGATGATGCTGATTCCGATGCTGATTATGATGATGATGATGATGATGATGATGATGATGATGGTTCTGATGTAGCTGCTGCTGTTGTTGATGATGATGATGAGGATGATGATGATGATTATGAGGATTACGATGATGCTGATGATTGTGATGATCACGATGATGTTGCTGCTGCTGATTATGATGATGCTGCTGCCGACGATGATGATGCTGATGAGGTTGACGATGCTGATCCTGCTGATGATGACTATGCTGATTCTGATGATGCTGCTGCTGATGATGCTACTGCTGCTGATGATGATGCTGACCATGATGATGGTGATGCTGCTGATGATGATGCTGATTCCGATGATGATTATTCTGATGATGATGGTTCTGATGTAGCTGCTGCAGTTGATGATAATGATGATGATGATGATGATGATGATGATGATGATGATGATGATGATGATGATGATGATGATGATGCTGATGCTGATGATCATGATGATGCTGATGATCATGATGATGATGAGGCTGCGGTTATGGATGATGCTGCTGACGACGATGATGGTTCTGATGATGGTGGTGGTGATTGCGATGGTGGTGGCGATGTCGATGATGGTGCTGGTGGTGGTCATCGGCATATCCGAAGCCAATACCTACTAGAAGGCATCTCATAGCTTCGGCGCTCGACCGGCACCACTGCTGATCGGCCCACGCGACGAGGCCTCCCGCCACCGCGCGAACGACAGCAAACAGACGCACGTGCGAGCCAGGCACCTCGGGCGCGCTGGAAGACACCGCAAGCAGGCCCATAGGGTGTTCGTCTTTCCTTGCGCTGTGGGAGGGAACGCCTGCAGGGACTCCTACGAGGAGGGGGCCCGGGGGGACGGGAGGGTGTAATGATTGCAGCATCCGTGATGCGTCCTGGGTTCGCTCTGGTTTTCCTCCTCCATTTCTGTTGGGATCGCTCTGCACGGCTCTCCCGCGCGCTGGGAGCTTATGCCGCACGGACCGTCTTTGTGGTCCCTCCCCATTCGGCGGCGAGCCCAGGGGGGAGGTCAGAGAGGGGGCGGGCCTCCTCACAAGGCTCGGAGGGCCTCTGGCATTCGAGCAGTTTTTTGTTAAGCCTTCTTCGAAGGCAGAGGCGGCCTCTCCGAGCGCGAGGGCTTCTGAGAAGCCCTGCCGCCTTCTGAGAGGGCCTGCCCCCTCTCTCACTTCTCATGGCGCCAGCATCGCAGAGCGGATTCCGTTCTGGTTTCCGCAGGATGGACCTGGAGTGTCCTGGAGAAGTTCGTGCCGGATTTCGAAGTGATTGTCGTGCGGATTTGTGTTGGCCAGGGATGAGGACTAACAAGCAACCCACGTGACACCGCTCGCCGTCCCGGGGTCTTGCATGGACAGAAATCCACGCACAAATCCGATGCAGCACGTCTGCAAGGTCGGTGCAGTGCCCCTTCCCCCCCTGGGCTCGCCGCCAATCCATCTTCACTGCAGATCGCTGGGCCGGGCAGGTCTGCCGCCCAGACGAGTTCCGCAGAGCGGGGGACCCCTTGACCCCCACCGAGCCGAAGATCGGGACGCGCCGCCAGCCGCTTTTTTTCGGAGGTGGATAGACCTCCTTCCCTGCACGTCGATTGAGGAATTGGCCGTTTTCGGTTCGCGAGAGGGCGTCGCGGCCGTCGTTTTTGTGGGTCCAGGTCCGTCGGTTTCGGTCCCAGGCCGTTTTCACTAAGGGGAGGTTTACTAAATGGAGGTTTGTCCACCGCCGATTCTCCAGAGAAGGAGAAGGTATCGACACTGCTACCCTTCCTTCGTTCCGCGGACGACTTGTGTGCACAGTATCGCGTTGGCGTCTCCCGAGGCGTCGTCCATCCTTGACCCAGGGATTTTACGGTGCATACTTTTCGTCTCTCGGAGACGGACAACTATGCACCTTACCGCGTTGGGGCGGGGCCTGAAGGGAGTCCAAACATGGTACGGTGCGTGGGTGCCATTCTCGTGCTCGTCACCACCGTGGCTGGACTCGCCTCGGAATTCTGGCCAGCGCGCGCGGCGACGCTGGCGCCTTCCCCTCGAGGCTGGACGATCTCTGGGGGCCCGCTCAGGGCCCTCGTGCCTACAGGAACGGCCCGCAGCGCGAAGACGCTGGGTGGGTCGGGAGCTCCCGGGTCGGGGCTCAATCGACGGGGGTTGGTGCAAACGGGGTCGGTCAGAGCGCTGGATCTTGCAGGATTTGACCTGGGTCTGGATCGACCTGGCTCAGAGGATCCCCGACTGGGGACCTTCGAGAGCGGAGATCATTCACGGCTACACGCTGGTCGTTGAAAGTAGGCGTTTTTGGATGACCAAGTCCCAGTCTATTTTAGGCGCTTTCCTACTTCAAGAGCGGAGTGGTGTTTCCTCTGCCCTCGTGCTCAGGGGGCAGGCGGAAGCCCAATGTGCTTTCAACGCCTTCCTACTCCATGTTTTTACCCACGTCTTCCGACCGACGTGTAAACGATTCGCGCGGTGTCAGAAGCCAGGACCCCTTTCGTCGAGGCAGGAGCTTGCCGTGCACGCCTGCATCTACAGCACAGCCTGCTTCTTTTCGTGCGGTCGCCAGTCGTAAACCACAGCGGCTGCAGGCTGAGCTGAGGCGACCGTCGGCAGCATGGCGAGCCTGCTCAGTTTCCTGGGCCCCTCGCTCGCGAGCGCCGTGGCCAACTGCGAGTTGAAGAACGCCAGTGGTACACATTCAAGCAGTGACGAAGCGTCCTGGCGTGCCTATCCACCTACCAAACAATGTTCCAATAGCCTTTGTGGTTTCCACGGCATGCTCTTAAGAGTCTTTCTGGCTGGGACTGTCTTGTTTTAACACATCGGGTTTGTGTTCTAAGAACACTGTTTTTGTTCTTAGAACATGTGCTGGTTCTAAGAGCATTTCGTGGTAGGCCTACAGGAGTGCCAGGACGGGCGGTCCCTGCTCAACAACACATAGTCCGAGCCTGCCCAGTTTCGGTGTACACTCGGCACGGCAGATGGGAAATTGGCTTGCCGGCAGATGCCTCACGCGGATCTCTGATTCCCCGCCGCCCCCAGGCATCCATTTCCAGCTCCAGGGCATCCCGCAAAGTCCAAGATCGGCTGAGCAGTGTGCCTGACATCGTGACTTCATAACGTATGGTAGGTGCATGCGGCGTTGGCGCGCCAGCGACGCCGGCGAAGGGGTTCGAGGTTGAACTCTGCGACGCGGGAGCACCCGAGGACACGGTGACGCTGTTGGACCCGACGGAATCCAATCTTGAACGATCGGGGCCGCGGTCGATGGCCGATTCAAGGTTGTACGATCGGCGTGGCGTCAAAAATCTTTGCGCGTGCCGACGCCGCACGAAGCTACCGTATGTGTCCACGGTAGGCGTGCAGTTGGTATCAGTCCCCACAGGGGGAGGGCAGCCCGAGCGAAGTCTGCGAGGTGACCGCGTCGCGCTGGGCGTCAGGCCCAGCGGCTGAGCGCCACGCTCCGCCATCCTTCCCCGAGTGCGCCCCGGTCGAACCGCGCGGGGCCCCTCTCGGCACCTGTCGACCAGCGGATGCGACGGACTGTCTCTCGGCGGCCCGCCTGGGGGGGGGGCGCCGAGAGGGGGCAGGCCTTCTCGGAGGGCGGCAGGGCTTCTGCCTTCGGAGGAGGCTGAGAGATTCTCCCAGACGGACGGAGTTGGACGGGGCTGGGACGAGGATAACTCCGTTCCAGAGCGTTCCAGAATTCTCCCAGAGCGTTCTGGAGCGTTCTGAGAAGGCCGCGGCGCCCGAGACATCCTCCAGAGCCGCCAGATCTCAGAGATTCTCGATGTATTCTCGCCCGATTTTATCTTCGCCCTGGCGTCGTCTTACGGAGGCCTTTCGAACCTTCTGAGAAGGCCCGCCCCTTCTCATTTCCACCCCTGGCTCGCCGCCGATCTTAGAGATTCTCGATCTATCTTCGCCCGATTTTCTCCTCGTCCTGGCGTCGTCTTACGGAGGCCCTTCGAGCCTTCCGCGAAGGCTTGCTCCTTCTCATTTCCCCACCCGGGCTCGCCGCCGGAGCAGTCTAGCGCTCGATGAGGAGGAACCATCGCCACCCGCTGGATTGCGTCCCTGCTCGAGAGCTAGGGATCCCGTGCCCTCCCGCTTTGACTTGCCTTGCCGGCGTCGTTGCGTTCTGTGTATGTTGCGTTGGCGCGCGAAGCAGAGGCACCCGCACTGGTGCGGGTGTTCGAGACGACAAGATGTCTGTAGCCAGTGAGGAGGCGCCACTTGCCGCAGTGCTCCAATGCGAGATGCTGACTGCAAGGTACTTGGCCACAGTTGCACAGTCGCAGGTGGTGTGACATGCCTGTGGATGGTTTTCGGTATGCATCTTTGTTAGACTAGGTGGATTTTTGCTAAGACCCCCGCCCTGCTCTCTCACTTCGATTCCTCCGACCGGATTCGATTCCGTTCGATTTCGATTCTGATTCGGTTCAATTTCGGATTCCGATTTGGACTTCTGGTTTCTCAATGGTTTTTCTTCCGATTTCCATGGATGCCATTTCTCCCGAATTGGCTGCTGAGCTCCGCCGATCCGATTCGTTCCGATCGATTCGATTCGAGGCTTTCCTGCCTACTTCGCAGTTGCTCCGCCTCCCTCAGTCGATGTACATTATCTTCCGTTTTACAGTGTCTTGTTGTACGCCAGGACAAAAATGGTGAGTGAGTTCATCGGCACCTACATTTTGGTGACGCCACCGCTTCGCAAATGATGATACATAGTAGCGTGCGAATGAGGAGTTGAGACGAGGATGGAGAGCTGGATGAAGATGGGGATACACGTATTGAGAAGCAGGGGAGATGATACCATCGAGGGTGGGTAACAGGCTTTCCAACAACATGAATATGGACATGTCGGTCAGAAGCTGAGCAATCTCTTTTGCGGTTGAACGCTCTGAGAAGTAATTAGCGTTGATTATAAGTCGTTGTGAGTTGGAACGGCATTTGGATTGCATCTGAATTCATCGAGCATTCGATCTTCTAATATCGATGTGAAGTGTGTTCGCCCAACTATTTCTCTTGACACTGTGTCTCCCCACCTGCCCATCTATACGCGATTTCCCGGTTGGGTTGTCGTGAGAAGGGTAGGGTGGGGATTCACGAAGCAGAGAGGGAGGATCAGTCTGATAATTCCCGAGCAATGATCTAGTTGGGGATCTCTTGGTTCCTCTTTGAGGTCTATTGTGATCACTTTGGCCTCTCTTCGGGCCTTACTCTGGATTCGTGCATGCAGGGCTCCTAAACTAGCGCCGACCCCTTGGAACCAGAATGATCGCCTCTGGGAGTCCTTTGGGGACGCTCTTGGGACATTTGTTATCAACTTGGGGTCTTTCTGGTCTCATTGGGGCGCCGCCTGTTGCAGGGGATGCCCAGCAGGGCACGTGTGGGCTGGCTGCGCAGTCCGATGCTCCCGGCTCTCTTTTTATACCCATCCCTCTCTCCTTCCCCCGTCACCTTCTCTCGCCGTCCCCGTTCCCCTGCTTCTCCCCCTCGTCATCCCTCTTCTCTACCAGGGGTCGACCTAAACGGTGCTTTGACTATTTCGTGGGCCGTTTTCCTTTCGATTTCGTTTTTAAGCAAAGGCAGATTGAAAACGAAACGAGGGAAACGAAAACAAAACGAAAAACGAAGAATACTGTTTGGGTCGATCTATGGGATAGGTGCTTCACTCTTCATCGAATCTTCGGATTCTGGGCCTCGTGGGAGCGTGGGTGCCTCGGCTCCCGCCGAGCATCGTTTTCTTCGGCCCGGGTAGGTGAGTCAGTGTCTGCCCTGCCTTCCCAATACCTTCTCGCGATGTGCAAACATCGCGTCGTCCCTGTGAATGTACGACCATGTTAAAGAGGGAAGCAGTTCGTTCCTACCTGAGTTCTGACCTTGTGCATGATCAGCGCAGGTGGAAGCGCAGCGTTCCACGCGCCTTTGGCGTATGACTTGTGTGTGTGTGTGCTTTTGAGTGGGCCGCGCGCGTCTCCCTCTTTCCACTCTTCGACCTTCTGCGCCTCGACGCTTGGCGCGAGGCCGCGGTGCCAAACAGTGTGTGTGTGTGTGTGTGTTCGGTCTCCAGGGGCCCTCGCCAGGCTTGAGGACCGTCAGCAGAACGACTCGGGATGCGGAGCCGGCCACGGGGATGGGCAGACCGGGCCTCCTCGGGCCGCCACGCCGTGCATAGAAGCCACGACGCTCAGAGGTCTGGGTGCGCCAAGGCCCCCCCCCCCGGTGTCGCCACCAGGTGCTCACGGTCGGGCTCAACGTCCTCGCCGGGTCCCAAGCCGCGGCCTTCTCCATTGCGGCCCCGCCCCCCCCGCCGCGCGCGCTCCCGTGGGTGCTGCGGCACCATCGCAGCCAGCTGCCCGCGATGCCCGTCCATTACTCTTTCAATCTGTCTGTCTCTTTTGTCTGTCTGCATGTCTTGTGTTTCTGTTTGTTGTCTGTCTGCCTGCCTGCCTGCCTGCCTGCCTGTCTGCCTGTCAATCTGTCTGTGTCTGTCTGTGTCGTCTTTGTGTCTTTCTGTCTGTCTGTCTGTCTGTCTGTCTGTCTGTCTGTCTGTCTGTCTGTCTGTCTGTCTGTCTGTCTGTCTGTCAGCCTATCTGTCTTTCTATTTGTCTGCAAGGCACCTGGCGTCACTTGCGACCCCCCGCCTGGGCTCTTTGGGTTGCCCCTCCCCCCCTCTCTCCTTCGCGACATCCCCACGTGCTCGCGTTTGCGGGTAAACCGAGGTATTTCCAGGTTCTGCATTCGCGAACATTGCCATGGCTAAGGACGTACGCTTAGATCCGATGCGTAATGCTGTCCCTGGGACACATAATAACATGGCCGTCGATGATCCGGCGAGTCGGCGCCAGCGCCGAGCGCCAATCAGGGCGGTGGGCGCCCAGCCGCATCTTCAAACATGCCCATGGACGCTCTCCTCTTGTCCAATTCGTCCGAGGCTGCTGCGTGTGCGGAACTTCTCTAGGAAATGCTGGCGTGGTTCTGGGGCGGGGACTGGGCATCCCTCTGGGCATCCACCCAGTCTGGCAGAAGTGTGCCGAGGAGGAGCCGCGAGCAGACCGACAAACCACGAGCGGTTCGGATCCACGCTCTCGCCGTTTCTGGGGGAGACGGGCGAGCGTTGACGGCAGCCACCAGCGCGAATTTCGCCCCGCGAGCGCCGGAGACCCAGAGAACGGTCTTTTACTGCTTCCGTGCGGGCGTTGCCGCGACGGCCGCGACGGGCGCCCGCTCGGATCAGGACGAGGAGTTGCTCCAGGTGATGCAGGAAAAAACTGGCGCCCCTGTCACAAACCAGCTCAGCTCACTGCCCGGGGCCTGCTCGGAACGACGCTGGAACGCTTGGAGAGCAGCGGCTAGCCAAAAGGCTTTGCAGATCCTCTCCGAGGCGGTTTCCTGAGTGGCTTTCGGATTTTTTCTGGTTGGGGCGGTGCGAACCTTGAAGGTCGGCGAGGTCATCCCCCTCGAAAAAGGTGCGGCGTGGTCATCCCATTCGAAAAAGGTGCAGACGAGGGCTGGCCTTTGCTGGTGAGCTCGGCCTGGCGGCGGCTCGACCTGTGGGCGTCGGTCTGGGTCTGCAAGGAGCAACTGGCGGCCGCTGCTGGCGAACACGAGTGCGGCGCGGGGAGGGGAGGAAAACGGGCGCGGACTTTTTCCTGCGGTGCCTCCTGCAGCGATGGCGCGACGCGACCCTGCAGTGGCCGCCGCCCTGGCGACCTGGCCCAGGGACCCAGTGGACCGCCATTGGAGAGACGCCCGCGACGCGTTGCGCAAGGTACCAAACGACAGGGTTTTTGACCACAGCGACCCGATCTCTCCTGGTGTTTTTTTTCGGTGGTGCGGTGCGAGGCGTTCGCTGACTTGTTTGCGGATTTCCAGAGGCTGGACTCTGCTGCCCGGCTCGACTCCTACCTCGACGACGCGCGCCTCGTGGTCGAGGCCGGCCCGTCCCCTGCAGCGGCGGCTGCCCTCGCGCCCCGCGGCCTGGCGCTCAGCTGCGCAAAGATTGCGGTCTGGTCCCTGGGCGGGGGCGGGTTGTGCTTTCTGCGCTGCAGTCCCGCCGCGCGGCCGTTCCCCCGGTGTTGGGCAAGCGCCTCCGGCCGCGGGGGGGCGCAGAGAACGGCTGCGCGGCCCTCGGGCCGCGCGCCGACAGCCCCGACGCGGCGACCCCGCGGCCGCAGGCACATCTGGGGCACGCTTTACTGGCTCCGCCAGGCGGGCCAGGCAAAGCAAGCCATCGGGGCGCTGCTGCTAACCTACGCTGGCGCCGCCAGCCAGCGCGCCCCGCGGCGGGGGCTGGCGAGCGATGGGGGCCACCCAGCGCTACGACGCCTGGCTAACGCGCTGCTGGGAGACTTTACTGAGCCGCCATTTGGGGGACAAAGCTCGGGAGGTCCTGAGCTTGCCCGCGCGCCTTGGCGGCCGCGGCGGGCAGCTGGCCGCTCGCGGCGGAGCGTTGTCTCCCTTGCCTCCCGGTGTGGCGCGGCCGAGGAGGTGATGGGAGACTTGGGTTGCAGCTTGCCGCGCGACGCCCGCGAGCGCCTGCCTGCCGCCGCGCGCGAGCTGGAGGACGCGAGGCAGGGCCTGGCTGGGCAGGGGGCTGCCGCTGGCGGACGGCGGAGCACTGGCTGACGGCCTGGCGCGCAAGCTCAGGCAGGGCTTTGCTATGGAGAAGAAGGTGCAAAAGACACCGCGCTGCGATCCCGCAGCGTTTGCCCCTCCTCCAATGAGGGCAAGCGGGGCTGGGTGCGGCGGCCTTGCTGGGCTACCCCGCCGAGGCGCTTTGTGCGCTGTGGGGCGCGCGCTGTGAGACGGCTACTCGGCTCTGGCTGCGCCCCCGGGGGCCCGGGCGCGCCCGGGGCGAGCTCGCGGCGGTGGCGGCCCGCTGTTGCCTGAAGAGCGCCAGCGGCGAGGTCTGCGCGGAGTGGCGACCGCGGCTGTCGCGGCGCCATTTGCCGGAGCGGCGGCGGGGCGGCGCGCGGGCGCGGCAGACTGGCTCGGCGGCTCGGTGGGCTGCCGCGGCGCCGGAGGCACGAGCTCCCGCTCTACGAGTAGCGGGCCCCGCTCTGGGATGGGCGACAGCCGGGCCGCCCCAGGGGGGCAGGGCGCGCCGTGCTCGACATCGAGTTCCAGGAGAACGACGGGCGTCGCTGGCTCGACGTGTCCGCGCAGCACTCTGCCGCGGGCGCCGAGGCGGAGCAGCGGGTCGCGGTCCGCCGCGATGGCGAGGCGGTCCGGCGCGGCGAGCGAGACGCGCGCGCGGTGCCCAGGCGGGCGCCCCGCCCCGATCATCCTCGCGGTGGAGGGGCGGCTCGGGGCCGAGGCGCGCCTCCTGTTGAGGCTGAGGTGCGCCTCTTGCCCTTTTTCGAGCGGGTCCGCGAGCTCGCCCGCGCGCGCCGCGCGCTCTCCTGCGACTTGCAGAGCGAGCTGGCACGCCAGCTGCGCGCGACCGCGGGCTTGCTCTGAAGCGACGGCGGGCGGCGCGCGGGCGCCGGGGCAGCGGGCGTTGCAGCGCCGGCGCCGTGGAACCGGCGGCGATTGCAGCGCCAGGGGCGGCGATTGCGGCTCTTGAGGCCTCGGCCTTGGCGGCGGCGGCGGCTGCGGCGGGGCGCTGGGGGCGAGGGCGACGCGCTGCTCGGCGGGCGGCCCTCCGCGGCGCTGCCGCGGGCCGCCCTGCCGGCCTGGCGCGGCGCGGCCGCCTGCGGGGAGCTGCGGCGCGCGGCTGCCTGCCGCGCTGGCAGGGGCGCCCTCCCGCGGCGCTGCCGCGAGCTGACGCAGAGCAGCGCCTTGCGTGGGCTGGGGGCTGGATGGCGGCGGCGAGCGGGCGCCGCCGGGGTCGGCTCGGGGGCGTGCAAGCCCCCGCTCTTTGGGGGAAGTCCGGGAGCGGGATTTTCCCCGGGGCGGGTGCCAGTCGCAACTCCCCGAGTCGCTGGTGCGGTTTTCCATGCCTCCTTGCTAATGTTCTTCTTCGGACAGACTTCGAGCGCAGAGTCTGTCTGTCTGTCAGTGTCTGTCTGTCTGCCTATCTTTTTGTCTGTCTGTCTGTCTGTCTGTCTGTCTGTCTGTCTGTCTGTCTGTCTGTCAGTGTGTCTGTCTGTCTGTCTGTCTGTCTGTCTGTCTGTCTGTCGGTCTGTCTGTCTGTGTCTGTGCTTGTCTGTCTGTCTGTCCCTCTCTCTTTCTCTCGGTCTCCTGTTCTTTCCCTTTTTTGTTTTTCTCCCTGTCTCTCTCTCTCTCCCTCTTTTTTTTCCCCCCCCCTCTCTCTCTCTTTCTCGCTCTCTCTCTTTGTCTCTCTTTATCTCTCTCCCCTTTCTACATTTTGGCGCGTTTTCTGGTGCATCTTATCTGTGGCCGGCGTATTTTCCGTCGAGGTGGGCGGGTTGTAGGTGCGGGCGGATGTTGTTGCAAATGGCGGCCATAAAAAGGCGAGTTGGTTTGGTTAGTTAGGGCCAGGGGATTGATGTTGAACGGATTTGGGCCGGCTGTTTCGGCCAACAATGAGTGAACAGTCGCGACAGAAAGCTCGAGCCATGTTGCGAGGATTGAGGAGGAGGAGGAGGAGGAGGAGGAGGAGGAGGAGGAGGAGGAGGAGGAGGAGGAGGAGGAGGAGGAGGAGGAGGAGGAGGAGGAGGAACAGGAGGAGGAAAAGGAGGAGTACGAGGAACAGAAGGCGGCAACGGTCATATGATGACGACGATGATTCGCCATGAGATGCGATCGCCGCGTCCGTGACAATTCATCCGAATCCAGTGGTTTTTGGCTAATCACGCCGCCGTGCTTTGGTTGCAGGTCAGAGGCCTTTTGGGAGGCCTCTCGGAAGTCCCTTTGGAGGCGGTTTTGGGGTGCCTTTGGGGCGGGGCCTCTTGGGGGCCTCTTCGGTGGTCCGTGGGGCCTGGTCTGGGCCTCTTGGGAGCCTGCTGGGCCTCCTGTTTGTTTTTTTCGGTGGCCTGCTCGCGGTCTCGGAGGTCGTCTTGGGGCGGGGTTCTCGAAATGTCCGTTCGGCTTCCTCTCTTTCTCCTCTCTTGGGACGTTCTTGGGGCCCTGTTGAGCCGTGTCGGGGAAGTCATCGACCGTGTTGGGGCCTTTTGGCTCTGTGGTCGTTGGGCCGCCTTGGGGCGATCTTGGGCCCCTCCTGGGCCGTCTGGGAGCGTCGAAAGCATGCAACGGCGAAAACGCTTACATCTTGTAGATGCAACAGTCGATTCCATGTTCCTGGCCTTTCGGAGTTGTTTTGGAATTGCAGTCGAACCGGTTAAGGGTTTGTGGTAGGTGTATTGGGCCGTTTGGAGGCCATCTTGGGTGTCTTGCAGCGATCTTTCGGCGACTCGGGGCCCTCTTCGACTCCCTTGGGGGCGTCTCAGGGCCATATTGGTC